TTACATCTCCAGACTTTACCAGGTGTTTACCTAACACGTGCACCTGAATATTAAAGTTAAAACAGCCAACATTTTAACTTGATATCCTCCCTGCAAACCCACTCCTCCTGGATATTTGCCCATCTCAGGAATGGCAATTACATTCTACCAACTGAGCAGGTGAAAAACTTAGTCATTTTTGACTCTTCGCACCCCGTATTTGTTATAAGGCAATGTGAAGGTTCTATCCTCAAAATAAATTCAGAATCCAACACTCATTACTTGAGCTGCACCACCCAACACAAACTGTTAGCTTTCATCTCCTTTACTGCAATGGCACCCAAAGTAGTCTCTTTCCCACTCCCACCAGCTCCTACAGTCTGTTTTCCATGTAACAGCCTTAGTAATCCTTTAAAAAATGTAAATCGGGTTCTAACACTGTTCAAAACCCTACACCATCTCCCATTGCACCCACAACCTGGCCCTTCACCATCTTCTCTAAACGCAACTCCCGCCTCTCTCTTCCCTTACTCACCATGCTCCAGCCACACTAGCCCACTGTGGTCCCTCAAGCAAGCCAAGTTCATTCTTAACCCGGGTCCCTTTTGTTCATTTCTTGACCCGAAATGTCTTTCCTCAATTATTTCTCTATGCATTACCTTCCTTATCCTCCCTGGACATCCTATTGAAAATAGCACATCCCATGTCACAATCCTCCAATCCCTTAACTGTTCTCTGCTTTACTCCCTTCATAAAAATAGCTCCATGTGAAATTATGAATTTACTTATCTAAGTCCCTACCAGAACATACATTCCAGGAAGACAGGCCTTGTCTTGTTCATTCAGGTATCTCTAGTTCCCAGAATGCCTGGCACACAGTAGGTAGTAAATAAACACATGTTGAACATATGAATGAATGGTGGTGGGAGAGGTGATGACCAAACTCATTGAGGAAAAGATGCCTCTCAGGGGGGGCAAGAGCAGAGGCTATGAGGTCCAGGCCTCTTCCCCAAGGTGTGAGTCTCTTTCCATTGTAAACCTAACAAGACTTAAAATTTATTTTGAGAAAGGTTGCAATTTTCTTTCACAAGCTCCTTTTCTGTTCCTTGTTGCAGTTCCACCTTTTTTGATTTGATCCCAATAGAATGTCACTGTGGTACTTTGCATGAACCTAAAATTTCCCCATCTAAGGAAAACTACTCATCTCTTATCGATGAATGATCTCTAGGCGTATATACACAGTCATCAAAAGTGGTTTTAAATTCCAGACCTTTCAGAAAATTGAAAGTACAGTAAAATTCATACATGTATTTCTTTGGCCTAGAATCACCAATTAATAACATTTAGGGCATAATTACTTTGAAAAGATGCCCACGGTGATTCTTATAGTAGGCACTGTGTTAGCAGCTGGAGAGAATGGAAAGAGCTAGTTTTCAAAGAATGAGACAAAGCACATTTTAGATTATATTCTATATTAAGACTGCTTTAAAAATTGTGCTTGTCAGTGAGAGATTTTTAAAAGAAATTTGAGTTTTCAATTATATAATGCAGGTATACTGAGATATGTATGTACTTCCAGCATAGGGTACATTATGTTTTGATCACATCTAATACATGAGGACCAGAATTTCAAATGAAGAGAAACCAGAGACTACTATCACTTTAAAAATGATTTAGTTTTTTTTTTTTTTTTTTTTTGGCAAAATAATGTACAACAGGCTTTGTCATTTCTAGACGATAGTCCATTCATAGCTGGTTTTTAGAATTTCGGTTTGTATACTAATTGCTATTTTCTATAATTGGCAAAGTATAACAGCTATGACTTAGATTTAAGAGATGCACTATTAGAATTGAGAAGTTTGAAATAACTTTAAAACAATTAACCTATCACTGGATGAGATTATCTTCAGGGAATTTTATTTTCACTGTTAGCTGGAAAAAACCTTACCTGACATTCTTCAGAGCAGTATCTGCCTACCAGAACCAGGCTAGAGCCGAGTTTCTGCCCCTCCCACCTTCCTTAAGCCCCAAAGATGTCTGTCATAGATTTACATTTAAGAGACTCTAGGCTGGAGCTCTGCAGCCTAGGAAATGCAGCCACGGAAGGAGACAACGTGATAAGCAGTTTTCAAGTTTCTGCACAGACCTTGCTCGTGTTTTGTTTGAAGTGCTTCACCTTCAGAGAAAATATAGTGTATTCATGCCTAAATTTGACCCAAGAAAAACATATGTTGTGGATCATTAAATGTCTGCTACACAATAATTACGTATTAAGTTGAAGTCACTGTGATGAGTATCTGGGAGCCATTTCTACTATGTAACACTACTGGAATGACATAATGCAGTATTTAGAGAACCAAATTCAAACGTTTTAAAGCTTTCAAAAGAAGAACATTTTTATAGGATAAACAGTGAATAGGCTTCTTTAGGTACCAATTCGAACACCTGGCAGGTCCCTCTAGCTTATAACCAAACACAGCAAAGTTCAAAATAAGAAAAAAATTAAAATACAAAAATTATAATAAAAATTAGATGTTATCATTAAAAAAACTCCAAGAATTTCTTCAGGTTTCCTTTGAATGTTATTCAGGCTAGTAGATTGGTGCTCTAATGTTCTAATTTAGATGTTAAAAATTACCGACTATTAAAAAAATGAAAATTCTGGGCAGAAAAATCCAAAGCTAAGTAAAATCACCACAAATCAAATTATCAATTTTAAACTACAGAAGCTGATGGTAAAATCATTCATCTTCTAGGCAGTTTTAAGGACCATTAAACTATTGCATATAAGCAAACACACCTGTTTAAGTATAAGAATTCACAAACCAATTCTGTCCACATAATTTCTTAACGTGTCCACATTTGGGAACATCAACATTTTCAAATGCCTACTCAGGCCATGCTGGAAAGTATGAAAGTCAAGTCTGAAGTACATCTAGCAAGTCAAGCTACAGGCCACCAACTTGTGTCTTTTGCTTTAAATCTTTGGTAACAAAAATAATAAGTATGAAGCAAACTTACAAATACCCAATTCTTATTTATAAAGTTCACCATCGTTTATAGCAGTGTGACAAAATTAGGGAGTCTTTGCATATTGATAATTAAATGTATTTGGCAAGGAAAGAGGCTTTAATTTTCCACAAAGAAATGAGTCCAACTTAGAATAATTTTTCCTCGAAGATATTTTGGTAACATATACTGGTAACACAGTAGAGATATGTAACACAAACAAACATTTTTTTTGTGTATTTTTTTTATTGTTTGGAACACCAAAGTAACCCAAATTTCACATTTACAATAAACTTTTTAATAAAAATATGCTGTACATCATATTAGATACATGTTATACAAGTTTTTGAAAAGTGAACATACACACTTATACAGTAAAGAGAATGAACTAAATTGCTATCATCTTTAATATTCCTCTCCTAAAGGATCAACAACTGCAGACCATTACCATTAGCTTTTATAAAACCACCACTGTTCTACAGGCTTCATGGAATGTGAGCTACTAAAAATTATTTCTTTAAAATCAAGTGATGATTATTATTGTACATCAAGTTTTCTATTTTCAGATTATCAGTTACTAAAATAATCAGAATCTCTAAAAGATGGCGGTTTCGTTCTCTACAAATCTGGTGGTGTGGGCTACCTCGGCCCAGCCCCAGAAACAGGTAGTCACGATTCCCAAACTTAATGCCCACACTTAAGTCTGAGCATCAGAAAATTCTTTAAACCAAACCATTATTAAAGCACCACACTGCCTCTGGCCAGTATAATCAGGCCTCGCTGTAGATTTTTGGGATATCTGTTAAAATATTTGTTTGGCCTCGGCTACTTAAAAAATACTGCCACATTTAAAAAATTAAGACCCGAGGAGTCAGTTAAGTCTCAATGATACAGCTGCCATTGTAAGAAAACTATTTGAGTATCATTAACGGGACGAATACTGGTATCACGTTGTGCTATTTAAATGAAATACCACTATGACCCACACATTTTCTCAGCAAGCCAAATGATGGAACTTTAATGTGTGAACTTATGATCTGGTCTAATTTACCATGAAAATTTATAAAGTAACTATGCCAAGACTGATTTTTTTCCTAAAAAGTTTGTTTCCTTTTCCAAAAAAATATAATAATTTAAAGCAAATAGTTGAAATATAGTTTCAGAACTGCTAAGTATAAATAAATATTCTTTTCTAGGTATTCTAAACATTGTCTCTGACATTCCTGGCCTGATAGACAGCTACCATTCACTGAGGGCCTACCCTGTGACAGGCCTCATGTCGGCTGTTTTATACATAAGCCCACTAAATCACCACAACACGCTGGTACGTAGTTTTTATTCCTTTTTTTTTTTACAGAGGAAGAAACTGAAATTTAGTACCATACCTGGCTGACTTCTAGGCTTAAAGTTTTCTGGTATAGCACATTTCTTTTTATTATCATAAAAGAAAACATTAGAGCACCAAGAGGAAACTTGAAAGCATCTTAATTCTAGTATTCCATTGCTTAGTTAACAGTAGCAGTATCCCAACCTGATTCCCAATTCTAATTTAGCACAGGTTGATTACTACCTCCTTTATTAAAAGGAGAGAATTCTGATGAGTCTTCTGGATAAATCTTCCCTTTATTTGCATATACATTAAAAAGTCTCATTTCTTCAAACAGTCAAAATTCATGAATAGTCTTTTCAAGATTTCTAACTGAAGGAACATAGAAGGCTTTCATTCTCATGATTAGAACTGCATTTTGGCTAAAAGTGCTTATTTGAACAAGTTTTCATTTTTTTTTGTTATGTCAAATTTTAACCTTTCTAGATTTGGAACAGCCTTCAATATCTAAATTTTGTTTTAAAAGTTAAAGATCATCAGAAGTGAGTGTAAAGAGCCCTGCGCTGGAAACCAGCCATCCTTCCACTTAATTCATGTAAAAACTGTCCCTCTCTCAGGAAGCTTCCGTTCTAGTGGGGAGGTAAAGGTGGGGAGGAGGGACGGACAGCCACACAGGTATGCCAGGTAACATTAAATACTAAGAAATTTATTTTCTAGCAGTGCTTAGCTTACCAAGTTGATTTTTAAAGCTCACCAATTTTTGATCTGTTTTGTTTCACGTGTTGGATGAAGTTTAAATTGTACATTTCAGTAGTGATAAGAAACAAAGGGCTGAGTCTTCAAGACCTAAATGTTAAATCAGAAGCAGGCTACTTATTCTCCAAGGTTGTTTGAAAGTAGTGGTTATTAAACTCTTGAAGATAATGAAACCTTCTTACTTATTCAATGAATTTACTAAGCCCAGAAAAGCAGCACGAATGCATACAATTTTGTAAACAGTCTCAGGTGGCCTACTATTCATGGATGCTAGACTGGAAAACTGTACTTCAAAGAGAATTCATAATCAGGGGTGTGGGGTAAAGGAAAAGGGTTGATCAGAAAATTCTACCCAACTCAGAATCTGAGGTTCTTGTGCAACGTCTTATTACAAATATGAAAATAAAATAAAAAATAAAACAAAACATTAACAAAACTGAGATTCAAAGGTGTTAAGGTTTCCTGGCTGCTAGTCCAATGTTCCTTCTACTATATTATCTCCAGTAGGGCACATGCCTCATAAAAGACCTCCTCATTAAACAAATCATTTCCCACCATTATGATGACGACTGCTACTTCACTTGTGACAAATTTTAACCCCAAATCTTCTTTTACCATTACCCAGTTTGTGTAATAAGGAAAATAAAAATCAAGTTTATTATCAGCCTAAACTCGGTCTTGGAAAGGGCACAAGACAGCATGCCATTTAAAAATAAATTGACTTTTATTATTATAAACGTAGTACATGCACAAAGTAAAAATTTCCAACAGTACTGAAAAGTGTAAGTGAAAAGTAAAAGTCCTCCATCACAAACCAACATCCCGCAGTCCTATATCTCAGAGGTAACCAATGTGCTCTTCACTAAAGTATCTAATTATGAAAGTAAACATGTGCGCACACATGTACCTCTGAAACACACAATGGATTCATAGGACTAGAACACTATAATACTAAGGATGAATTAACTACCCGTTAGGAGAATCAAGTGTTAATCATACTTGGTAATACCACTTCCAATACAATAATTTATTAATTTGAAAGATGGTCAATATAACAAGTATATGATATATTAATTTATAATTCAAGCAAGCAAGAGTACGGCCTCTTAAAGTTGTAAACAATCTAAATCACACTTCTTTTAATCACAGTAATGAAGTTATGGGTAGAGTATAACAGATAAACCGTAGCAGGAGAAAACTGAGGGGTCACTGGGAAAGCGTTATCTCAGGCTGTGCACCTGTCGCTCCAGTAACAAAGCCATTTTATTGCAATGTAGCAAAGATAATTTCTTTGCTAGCCCACAGAGAATGCTACCAAAGTCCAGGGGTTTTAGATAAACAAAAATTGACCCAGACAGGAAAAAAAAACTATGTTGTCAAAGAAATGTTACATCTTATAAAGCTGGGATGTCTGGGGTTATGTCATTTATGGACTTTGTACCAATTTCTTTCCACAGAGCTTAATTCACTTTTCTATACCATCACTTTTCTATACCAAATTAAGATGTGCAAACCCAAACTTTTGTTCAAGACAGACAAACATGATTTCATCATCACGGTTGTCTCTGGGGCTACTCTTGGTAAAAAACCAAAGGCACATATTTAAGAGGAAGATCTTCCTCAGAGAAAAATATTAGCCCCAGACAACATTTTTACCAAAATTAGCATTGTTTTTTTTTCTTTCTTTTTTTTTTTTTTTTAAAAAAAAAAAAACCTAATTTGGGCAGAGGGGAAAACACTAATGATAAAAAAAGTTAACTTACCAAGAAGTGAAACAGGCTGAGTTACAGGAGGGGTGGGTAGATTCGTGGGTGCAGCAGGTGGCACGGCAGAGCCATACATTTTCACACTGTCACCAGACTCGGCGTTTCCTCTAGCCCCAGACACCACTGTTGGAATGGGATTTCCAATAGATAAGTCTTTTGTAGTGTCTTCATTTATACCAGCGATAGTAGCTAAGGAATATAATTACATCAACATGTGAAGCTGAATAATTATCTCCCCGGTCAACAATTCTTTTGCCATACTAAAAACCTTATTACTAGTCCAGTCTCCCTCCTACTCCCGACTCCAAGAGCACAACTAAACACGAAGGAAAAACACGCTTACAGTTTGGGATGCTTATTGGTGGAGTGTGAGGAGGAGGAATGGATACTGGTGGAGTTATAGGAGGTGGGGGTCCAGGAGGAAGAAAACCTAAAGTAAGAGAAATAACGTCACCTTATGCTGTTATTTTATTGCAGCCTCTAAAAAAAGAATGTCTTCTCAAACAATTCAGTGTACCTGGTGGTAAATGCATTGGGTTGAATCCTGGACGCAAAAATGGAGGAGGAGGAGGAGGAGGAACACCAGGTCCAAAGCCGGGAGGGGGGATTCCCAGAGGCGGCGTGAAAGCAGGTGGCTGGAGAGCACCGACTACTGGAGGACCTGGCTGATGTGGTGGGACCTAGAAAGGAAAATGAAGCCACATATCTAGCTACCCTGCTACCCATATAGTGAGTAGAGACAAAGAAAACATCTTGTTGAAAAAATAGATATTTCTAAATTTGTGATTATGTGAATAAGTTAGAAAACAGGTAACAATTTGTATCTACTCCAAATGATAGAAATCAAAAGTTTTGCTCTCTACTTTATGAAAGCAAATTCACATTGTATTTCACCAGCATCTTTTAGTTCTGATAGAATACGATACGTTGAAAAATGTTCCATGTTCAGGTCAGTAAGTTTGAAAATCTACCCAACAATTTTCACAGTGATTAAGATCACAAGTCCTAGGGACGAAGTACCTGAACACCCTTTTAACCAGCTTTGTGATCTTGACTAAGCAAGCTTACACTGTCTAGACCTCAGTTTATTCATCTGTAAAATAAAAAAGTACCAACCTCACATGATTATGGGGATTAAAGAGTTAATACATGTTCAGTGCTAGTGCCTGGCACTTAAAGCACCAATAAATATTAGCTATTGTTTTAAAAAAAGTATAATCAATTTTGACAGATAAATCAGGTTTCTTAAATGAGTGCTGATACCACACTGAATCTTATTTAAAACCTACACTGGAAGGGCATATCCAAAAGGTCAACTAAAGAGTGACAATTGAGGGAGTTCATTTATAAAATATCACAGCTAAATATGTATCGAAGCATGTGTTTTTTTTCTCCCATTCAGAAAACCATAGGTATTGCTTCTGTGATAGCTGCTATTTATCTGAGCAGATTTAATGTGAGAAAATGAGGAAAGAAGGTATTGGAAGAAGAAAAGTCTGGTAAAAAAAAAAAAAAAAGAAAATCTAGTAGATCACACATAAAACTATGGATCAAATATTTCTAATTTTAGTGAAAAGGTTTTTCATTGGTCAGCTCTTATTATGTAACAGGAAACCTACAGAGTACTTAACATATATTACCTCATTTAATCCTCAAAACAACACTGACAGAGGAAGAATACCAGAGCCAAAGCCAGGAAAGGGAAAGTGCACATTTATACACAGGAAAATGAAGCTTAGAGGTTAGGTGACTTGCCCAAAGTCACGCTGCTGAGTATAACCAATAGAGTTGGGATTCAAACCCAGCTCTGCCAGAATCCAGATTCTTTCTTCTGAAGTAATACGACAGCAGAGACTCGGTTAAATGGCACTCAATGTATTTAATAGCTCTCCATCCTCCATTTAAAAAAACTCATGCTAACACCACCCAAACTGAGGATTTAGAAACTATCTTTCCCTCAAAACTGCTACTTATTGGGTTTAAATCCAAGCTCCCTGAGAACATAAAGTCCCCGAAAAATAAAGATCTGATAAGAAAACAAGGTAAGAGTAAGCAGGATAGGAGAAACTCTAACAACAGGTTTGAGTTTCAAGTCTGAACCATTATAATGTGAGATACTCGATAATCTAGACAGATGTAAGGCAATATGAATGTAAAATGTGTTAAAAAGTTTACAACATGTCTGACATACCAAAACATGACAATAATGCACATTTATGTACTCATGTCTTTGACTACGAATCCAGACACATATCTACAATCAGATTTAGAAAGGTATCTTTCAGACACTTAAAAGTTTAAATAATCCTCCAAATATTCTTACCTGCGGAGGCGGTACTGTTATAGGTGCAGGAACAGGAATAGGAGGGACAGGCACAGGTAAAGGTTTGGGTATGGGTGATACTGGTTCTGTGTGTGAGGTTTCTGCCCCTCCATTTTGAGCAACTTCATTTTCATGCTTCTTGGGAATTCCTTTCCACTCTATGAGTTAAAGAAATTTAACGATAAAAGTTTACCATTTTTAGTTTGTAACTTTAAATCTAGAAATGATTTTTTAAAATGGTGACTATGTAAAAAACATCAACGGTCTGATTATTAAATAAATGCTTATGTTGATCTTATAAATATTAATTATTTGCATTAACAAATAACAGCAAAAACAAGTGCTTATTGTGTGCCATGCACAGTTCTGAGCATTCTATACACACTAAATAATTTCCTATAACCACTGTAAGTAGTTCCTATTATTATTATTATTATTCTCATTTTATAAACGAGGAAAAGAAAATTTGCCCAAGGTCACACACTTAGTAAGGGGCAGATATAGGACTGAACCCAGACACATCTGGCTAGAGTCTATGTTCTTAACCAAAACAGTTGTCTTGTTTGGACAAAAGATCCTGGAAGAGGGGAGCAGGATTCTTTTTACCCTGGACCAGAGCCTTCCAGAATGCATGGCACATAGTAGACCCTCAATATCTGTTTGCCTGAACAGACACCTAGCTCTAACTGTAAGTGAAGGCCTCATGTGCTGTGGAGGGAGGAGGTGGGGTCTAGCACTGTTTCACCTTCCTCTCAAACCATCTCTCCTTGAAGATTCCTTAGATGTTTACTCTAATTGCCATACCATCCTGTGCTCCTCCCTTGTCAAGCTATCTGTCAATCTCCAGGTCATGCCCATACATGCTGCCATTTTCCCCACTGCAATCCCACTGTCAATCTGGCATTTTTGATATTCTTGACCACAAATAACTGCACCTCCTTGTCTTACTATTTGCTCTCTACTACTTCTCTGGACATGTAAACATTTTCCAAGAAATTATTATGAAGCATTGGATTAAAACACAGAACCCACGATGATTAGTTTAAGACTCATCTCATCTGTGAGGTTTTCACAGTGAAAAATTCTACTTAAGATCTACTTAAATATCGTAATTAATAATTAACCCCACGATCAATAATTATTCCATTTATATCTGCATCTCTCCCACTTAATATAAATTGTATAAAAGCAAAGACCACATTTGTCTTATTCACCGGTTTCCTCAATTTATAATAGAGAGACTAGCACACAGCAGGGTACTTGAAAAATCTCAAAAATCACTTCCTAAAGCAAAGAATAAACACGTCACACAAACTATCAAGAAATTAGATGACTTTCACAAGACATTAAATACCGTTTTACCTGGATTAAGTGTATCACTATCCAACATTCCTCCTTCACAAAAACTCTCCAGTTCTTCAGGCTTGACTTTGTCCCATGGAATATAAGTAACACCAAGTTCTACATCCCAATACTGTTTATAATCTGCCTTTATTCCTTTATTTAAGGCCCAGGCAATCTATTGCACCATAAGTTAAAATAAAAAAAAGGAAAGAGAAGAATGTCAAAACTTTTGAGAGTTTACTGTTTCCCACCATTCTAGTCACTCAGACTTGGGCAGCAAAGGAGCAATCTGGCTCAGCCATCCCTGGATCTTATTTGACACTAGGAAACTGCTTACCCTTTTATCCCACTTTGTCCTGGGAAATGTACTGGCATCACTTCCTTATCTACTTCTTCAACCACCAAACCCCCAACCCAGCCATCATAAAACTTAGAGAAAAGGAAAAAGTTTATTAGGAGAAGTACAAACTTCCCTGTACAATCCAGCATACTGGAGACCACTTTCAAAAGTCTTGGGTACGTTAGGATTATTCGGCATTAGAAAAAATCCTTTTGTGGCACAATACAAGGGTAGGACAGTGTGTTATGATACTGAGAAAACAATGACTGTGGCCCTGAGAAGAATACCCACGTATTTATATATTTTTTTCTATCTTTGCTGAATAATATTTATAGTTAATTCTAAGATAACAAACTTTAAAAATAAAAATGTAAAAAATCCAAAAGTTTTGCAACAAGATAAAATATTTTACTAAATGACAACATAAAGTACCAATTAAATACCTTGATGAATTGTTCTATCTAAATGAAAAAAAAATTCTACCATGAACTTAACATTAAATTTTTTGTTAACTTTTAGCAGATCCTCTTTTTAAAAAAGATGAAAAGCCTCAGTGTCCAAAATTAGTTTTAAAACAATGAATTATAAGGCATAAAACTGTACCTTTATGGATTTCTGGTTCACTTTATAGTTTCCTCGGCTCAGTTTCTGCAGGGCACGATATGCATCTTGCCTATGAACCATAACAATATAGGCACAACCTCTGGGAGGAATCATCTGCTCGAAAACATTGTATTATAAAATGTGATAATGACAAAATCACTGAGCAACAAGATATAACACTAAGTAACCAGTTCCAACAACCCCAACTACAACCCCCGCCCCAACCAAGTTAGTGTTCCATCATCTAATATGAAAATGAATTGTAAAATGGCAATTCAAGTCTGGTCTCAACCAGACTTATTAATAAACCTATTAATAAACCAGCATTATTAATAAACCTACAGCCCCCCCAGCTTTGTTATAAAAAGACTTTTCTAGAAAAAGGTTTTAAATTAAATTTGGCTATCAAAGAAATGTGGTTAAATGCAGATAATGCTAAACATGGACTCGGAACACCTAAACTCTAGTCTCAAGTCCTTAATTTTGTAAAATGACAACGACATCTGTCCACTATCATTACATAATTTAATAATCACTCACATTAATTGATTCAATTGGACCAAATTCTTCTAAGAGACTGGCAACATCCTGCTGAGTAGTCCTTTTGTCCAGCTGTCCCACCCAGAGTGTAGTACTACAAACTTAAAATAAAATCATCATGAATGTACATATTCGATAATGAACAGTACTGTACCTTACATGGAAAAACTTATTACAGAAAATATGCATGAGCTATATCATGATACCTCAAGTCTGAGCAGCGAATGCCATTTACATTTAAAAAATTCTAGAAAGCTGTGGTAGTACTTCCAGAAATGAAACCAGGATAGTGAATACAGTTAGGAATTGGACAAAAAAACTGGCCTTTTTGTGGACAGATCTAAGACTTGATCCTAACTCCTGACCACCAACCAATTCAGTGCTTTTGTTCACTTTACATAGTTTTCCTTTTCCAACTTTCAAGTGTATATGGTTTTTCTCTTATATTGTGCCCTAGGAAATAACTCCGCCAGTCAGAAGTTTTACACATGCCCTAGTTATATAAATGAAAAATTCAGTAATAGATGGGCTTACAGCATATCTTATTAAGCATATTCTAAACACATGATGAGATTCTTGAAATAATGCAAGATAATAATATAGTCTGTAAATTATATTTATAAAATAACATATTAGTTTATTATGGAAAAAAATAAAACCTTTCCACTGTATATATAGAGAGCTAGTTAATGACTTTATATTTCATACACTGCATTTTAAACACTCTAGTGCTCAAAACTGTTACTTTGGTTCACTCATTGCTACTGTACAGCTGGCTGAATGTATGAAAGCAAATCCAAGGGTGGTCACCAAACAAGACGTGATAAAGCAATATTTTGCTAACAGTTTTAAAACATTTTAAACCCATGACATGAAAAAAAATAATGCAAGAAGTCTGAATAGAAAGGTTAATTTACCACTTGCAGTTTCTGATTTGATTGGAGGAAGGCCTTTTTGTCGGCGTTCTCTTTCTTTTTCTCGATCCCGTCTTTCTTGGGATCGAGATCTAGGAGAATGTCGGCGTCTATCTCTAGACCGAGATCTAGAACGTCGATGACGAGACCTTCGAGATCTAGAACCAGATCGAGATCGCCTTCTTTTTGGCGACCTAATATTTTCATGAGAGAGAATAGATAGCACGTAAAGGAAAAAAAATTTTAATCTAAGTATGTATTAATTAAAAAAAAAATACAAGTAGGTAATTTAATGTTTAGATATGTTAAACAAGAATTTGACAACAGGGAATTCATTCTAAAGATTAATATGTTCAAAGTTAGAAGGCATACATGTATTTTAAATGAGATAAAGAAGGTTGCTAGCTTATGTAAGTATCGCTCATCTTTGATACCTCTGGTACTATAAGTTACATCCTTGTATTTAAGATGCTAATTGTCACCACTGAGATATACTGTGACTTCTGTTATCTATCGTCTCAGTAAAGTCTTTTCTGCAGCAATTAAAAATGTAAGCTGATTACAGTATTAATCAGCTTTCTACTTTGTTAACCGATAAATCTGTAAAGCAATTTTATTATTAACACATAATTGTTTTAAATCCACGTACACGATCTGTATGCAGGCATTAGCGTAACTCAAAGGGAAAAAATGTGGGTAAGATGACAAACTCACCTTAGAATTTTTTTAAATTAATACTTCTGCTCCCGTTCCATAGACAAATATATCAAGTGTTAATTTATTAACCGCATATCTAAAAACAATCCAACTTGATTTTAATCTCTATGTCTCCTAAGACATATAGGCTTATAAACCATTTCCTATAAATTACCTGGATGCTGACCTAGATCTTGACTTTCTGTTATCAGAGATATGCCGCTTAACTTCTTGAATACAAGGTTGTTCTACTTCCATTTCCTTTAAAAACAAACAAACAACCATTATTACATGAGAAAAGTGGGAATTATAGAGGTAAGAGGACAAAATCTAAAAAATGCTAAATTACAAATCTCTTGCTCTGAGATAGTTCTCTTATGATTACTTGAGATCAAATTACTTGTTTAATAAATGACTGGCCTTTAGTGGGAAAACATTTTTTATACGGTTTACGACATTAGAAGAAATACTCTACTTCCGGAAATTACTTTGTATAGGTTATGTACTGTTTTAATAAACCATCACCTAGAGTGGTGAGCTAGGCACTGATTAAGCATTCTATACTGTCTCAATCCTCAAGAACCGTATGAAAATTGGTACTACTATTATGTCCATTTTCCGGAAGAGAAACTTGGGCCACAGAGAGGGTTAATACGTGCCCAAGGTAATAGCTTTTCTTCATATGAAAAAATGAAGATAACAAGCAAATAAGCAGGAATCTGTACAGAAATCAAGGCAACCAAAAAGATCATCAACAATCAAAAATGAAGTTATACCTGATGTGCCTTCTGCGTAAGTGGTTCATTTTGTGACTGAAAAGAAGCTTGGAAAGGCTGCTGTACAGGTGGAGTTGGAGGAATCACAGACTGAGCCATGGGAGGAAATGGAGGTGTAGGAAGAAGGCCAAATCCTGGCATTTGTCCATTAGGAGGAAGTTGAACCTTTTGTTTTTAAATAAAGTGTATGAGTAGATTGAAAGTAATAGCTACCAAAAATAATCAGAAAAACCCTTACTTTATAGATAATTTTTATTGAAGACTGTTATGTATCCAAGTATACAAGTTAAAGATCCTATAACTTGTTTTAAAATTATGAATACACAGGTTTGGCTTCATAAATTTAAAGACATAACTTCCTCATTTATGTGAGAACACCATGTGACATAATGAACTTAAGTCAGAGGTACTCTTTTGCAAATTGTCTCTCTTCAACTTTAAAGGCAATTAAGCCTTTTGGAAGAAGGAGTAGCTAGAAGCATTGACTTTCTAAGTTCACTTTTAAAAAATTTAAAAGGAGTTTTGGCTAACATGCCATGCCTACTTTTAGGATTTCAAATATAATGATGATGACAGTAAATCACACCCTAACATATTTTTGCACATGCTATTCCAATACGACTAAATGTAACTATAATGCCACAAGGGTATTCTTTCTAAATTATTTATAAACTTTCAGTAATTGTTAAAACATTCAAAATAAGTTCATAAGTTTTCTTCATATTTTAAACAGGCTTATAAAATACTATTCAAACTTCATTCACCAACAAGTCATTAAAATTATGGTATTAATTTCTTTTATCAAATGCACAGAATGGACTAAAAATGATAAAGAAAAGAAAATGAATGTAGTTTAAACTGACCTCTTAGAATCCTTTCTAAGTTAAGGCTATAAAGTATTATTTCTCAAGGCTGATGGTACAAAAGAATCACTACACAATTAATTTTAAAAAACTGACTATAGCACTGGAGGGCCAGGATTTGTATTTTCTTTAATGCCCCTCCCTGCCCCCATTAACTGAGATGCATAGTAAAGTTTAGGAAACTCTAAATTAAAGATTTAGTACAATAAATCCAATGAACAAATCTCTACTAACTTCTTGCAATTCTTGTGTGCTATGCTCCTTTCACTGCAGATCTCAAACTACAGTTCTGAACGTTGAGAAGTGAAAGCCCTCTAAAGCATCTAATCACACATTTACCAAAGAGGTTCCTTGCAAACAAAAGAGCCAAATAATTAAATAGGCCAGTACCCTGAAACAGAGCCTTAATCTCTCTCTAAACTACATTAACAAAAATACCTATTATTAAATTGTAAGTATGTATGTAATATTCAGCATCCTTGTTTCAATTAAAGCAAAAAGCAACTCAAATCAGTTACGTGCTCAACAGCTTTTATTGCAGTTGTAGTACTACTTAGCCAATCACATAGCTAAATAATAGTAGCCTGTGAAGTGCAACCCAATTATTCAAATGCAGCTGCAAGAAAAATGCTTGTACCTGATGGTGCACTGGATCCTGCTGTATTGCCATCATTCGAGGTTGAAACTGATCCATATTTTGATGTTGGGTATATGCTGGCTGCTGCATGGCATCTCCAGGAAACCCGCTAAAAAAAGATGAGTAATCCTTTTACCCATTCAAAATACATGAGATTCTTAGCCACATTTATACTACAGAAGCATAAAAAACATTGTTCAGGAATCATTAATAATCAACATTTTACTGAATCATGTTTGCCTATATGTTAACTTATGTAATCATCATTATTCTTCCCCCAAAAAGCCATTTTTAAATTGTAAATCTCACGGTATCCCCTTCCCATTCGCAAGAAAATCCAAAATATCACAATTTTAAAAAACAATGACTCTATATGAAAGATGATTTTGTTACTAATGTTCCTGACATTATGCCTCACAAAAGTTACCAACTCTGTATGTGCTGAGGAATCAAAACACAGAAACTTACAAGGGAGCCTGTGGGGGAGAAGTAGCAGGTGTGACTGCAGCAGGTGCCGTTGCAGCCGGAGCAGGCGGCACAATCACAACGGCAGATGTTGTGGTGGCAGCAGTAGCAGCAGCATCTTCTTTCTTTGATTCTTCCATAGCTTCTGGCTCATCATCATAGTCAAATCTATCAAGTAGCTTCTGGAATAGGTACATAAACATTCCATTTGAAAATTCTGATTTTGATTCACTGTGCAAAAAAACTTGATAAAAACAACAGATGTTTATACCATCATCCATAATTCCACCATGCTGCCATGTACAATCCTATCTTCCAACCTACCTAGGACTTTGGTTCACAGACAAACCATTTTTACACAAATGGCATTTGGAAAAGACAATTTTTTGTTCTGCTTTTCTTCCCAAATTATAAATGCAGTGTTTTCTTTCTAGTTTCTACATGTGTACTTTATCGTTAATTTACAATATAAATATTTCACTAAAATAGTCATGTTTCTACACTAAAAACTTTTGGAACTTTGCACACATGACAATGGGTGTACATGTCTTACCCAAGCACTATATATGCCTAGAGAAAAATGTCTATGTGCTGCTTGCTCAACAAAATACTAATATGAAAAAGGAAAAAGAGAACGGCACAGACAGGGCCATCGAGAAGTTTTACCGCCTATGTACTATCTTCTTTCTTAAAACTTCACAGCTGACCTTAGATTACCAGAAACTTTCATTAAAAGGAGGTGAGGGGGCACTTCACAAGAGCACATATCTATAAGAGCCATTTAAAAATATTACATTTATTCAGAAAGAAAGGAAGTAGCTTAATGAACACTTATTACTGTGTTTTGGTAGGTTATATACAATACTTCATCATCACAAGGAGCATGAAATGTAGATATATTTTCTTCTTTTTTACAGCCAAGAAAGCTAAGGCTTAGGTCATTAAGAAATATAACTGATTGTATAGTCAATGAAATGCAGAACGTGGACAATGGTCTTTCTGACTTTGAAGCCCTCACACTCTGGCATACAACGAGCAATCTTTTCTCTCAAGCTGTGTCCGTTATGCTCATGGATTTCCAACCTCAAATTCCTAAATTTGTGGTGTTCTGTGATAGTTCTGCCCAGAAATTCTGGTTCTACCATCCTGGACAACAGATTTCTAAGTTAGGAAGAGAAAGAAACTCTCTTCTTGGACACCTGTGTTTCCCTCTATGTAATTTTAGACCGTGTGAGTAAAAGTTCTTATTGTAAGCACGGGATCTAATAATATGGCCTAAGCACCTCGCTGTTTTACATACATTAGTTTATTAATCCTCATGGCAATAAAATATAGGTACTACCATCACTGTTTTACAGTGATGAACACTGATATTTAAGTATCTCAACATCAAGATACAGTAGAGTATAGGAGCCAAAATTAAAACTTGGGTTTAAATTGCCTACAAAAACCAAAAACTATGATCTTTACAGTTTATCACATACAGATATGTTCTTTAAAGTTTCATTATTTATACCTATTGTTTTGGGAAATGACTAAATATCTAAGAATAACTGAAAGAAAAAACATGTAAGACAAAAAAAAAAACTGTAATAAAAAACGATTCTGTATAAAAAACTATTGGGACGTAACCTATGAATTCAGAAATTCTTAAAATGTATGGTAAGTTCATCCGGAAAAGTATGCTGTTGTGGTTAATTGTATGTGTCAATCTGGCTAGGTTAAGGTGCCCAGGTGTTTGGTCAAATACTAATCTAGATGTTGATGTGAAGATGTTTTAAAATTGTGATTAACATTTAAACTAGTAGACTGTGAATAAAGAAAAACTCTCCCATAATGTGGGTGGACTCTGACCAATAAGTTGAAGGTTTTAAGAGCAAGAACGTGGGTTTCCTGAAGGTATTTGCCTTAAGCCGACAACACTGACTCACCTGAATTTCCAGCCTCCAGTCTGCTCTACAAGCTTCCAATTTGCAAGCCTCCACAACTGAAGGAGCCAATTCCTTAAAAAAAATCAACCTAACTTTCTCTCCCCCGCCTTGCTCTCATTTTCTATGTGTACTTTTGTGTGTTCATAAAATTGGTTCTGTTTTTCTGGAGAACACTGACTAACACATATGCGTCTATAGAATAGTCAAAGAGAATTTTGGGAAAAGAAAGGGGGGGAGGGCAAAACACAGAAATAAACAAATATATTACCAGTGAGACAGAGGAGTGTTTAGAGAAGACACGGAAACAAATGGGAATTTAGTGTACAACAAAAATAGGGAGAATTGACATTTCCAAAAAAATAAAGATTTATCCTGAACCATATTTTATTTTTTATTTTTCAATGAGACTTGAGAACCATAATCTAAAGTAGGCTCCAGAAGAACTAGAGACAAACATCAAAAAAAAAAATATGAAACTACTAGAAAAATTCACAATTAAAAGAAAAGCATAGGTGAAGAAAGGTTTCCTAATCACAACACAAAACTAATAAAAACACGATATGTAAGAATTTATGTTCACATGTGCATGGAAATAGGTCTGAAAAAAGACATAAATCTGTTCAAAGCAGAGTGAAACTGCATCCCTTTTACTTTAGAACTTTCTGTATCATTTGCATTTTTTCTCTTATGCATGTACTCCTTCTGTACTCAAAAACTGCATCCAACATTCTTCAATACAAGTACCATAAGTCACTAAGATATAATGACAATCAATACTCACTGCATGGATTCTTAATTTGGACTACCAGCAATAAAGTTATTATATCTTAGAATGCAGGAAAGAATAAGAAATTTTAGAGATGATTAAAACTAAAAGATATAATTTAGTTCTAAGATTTTCAAAGTTTTGTATTTTTTGGAGTGAAACTTGTAAAATGAAATAACATTTTATATATCCATAAACCCAGTAGAAAAGACATGAAACAGACAATAGTGGAGTTGTTTGCGCTAACATTTCAACAAGCTCTGAGCTTCCATATTCAGCACACCTATGTGTCCTTCCTTAGTGGCAGTCTCCTAAACATGCCAAGGCCCAGCAGAGCAGTTGGGAGACACTGAACCAACATGAACCTTCGTATTAGAGATATGGTAACGAGAGAGAGAGAAAAAAAATGGCATAGATGATAGAGACTCTGTTTATCCCTCTGGCGACCAAATAAAAGTTGTGACGGAAACAAAGAGCAGCAGCAAGGAAAAGTCACCTGGGTCTAGATGAACAAGCCATACAACTACAGAGAAATCCAAGAAATCACCCTGCAACGGCAGAAGGTAGGATGGGGCGAGGATGTGGGGCTGCCCGGTCCCGAGCGGCTGAGTGAGATGAAGGCTGCGGCAGCGGCAAATGCCTCTTAAAGGGGCCCTGTCTGCGAGCAGATTTTTCGGGGTGATGGACCTGCTCACTCTGAGCACCACTGCTGATTTGACTGCATGCAGGGAGCATGAGGAACTTACAGGGAGACACTGTTGGAGTGAGGGTCGAGGCGAGACTCACTTCGTACAGAAGTGCCAGCAGTATCTGTAATTCCCTGTTGAGCCCTCCCCCCACCAGTGTGGGACGCAGAGCCACCAGAGCCATAACATCATCAAACTGGATAACAGAGGTCACTCTGCCCAGAGGATTCCCTGAAACCCAGCCTCCCAACTCGCAGTCCCACCCAAGACACATACAGGTATATCCTCAGGGAGTCAGATGCTCCTTGCTGAGCAGCGCCTAGACTCACACTGGAACCAGCTGGCCTCAGTTTCTGGTGTGGCCTCTTGAGGCAACTGTAAGCACAGCATCTGTGGATTGCTTGCTGAATCTTGACAGTGGCCCTGGAGGGGTAGAGGCCTGGGCTAAGTTTGGCCTGCAGCTGAACCCCTCTCAGGACTGTGCCACTGGACACCTACTTCACAAATCCACACTAATCAGACCAGGAGACTTAGGAGCTTTGCTTAGTACATAGAAACAGACACGGAAAGGCAGCCAAAATGGGAAGACAAAGAAGCAGAAACCATATGACAGAACAAAACAGATCCAGATATAAGAGAGTCAAGTAATCTAACATGCAGAGTTCAAAACACTGGTTATAAAGATGCTCAATGAACTTTTAGGAAGTGTAGGTGAATTCAGTGAGAACTTCAAAAAAGAGATAAATATAAAAATGGAAATGGAAATTATAAAAGGGAACCAATCTGAAATGAAGAACACATTATCAGAGATGAGAAGTATATTAAATGGAATAAACAAAGTGAATAAATAAGAGGATCATATGCCCTACTTAGAGGACAGGACAGCCAATCAGGACATTCAATCAGAATGGCAAGAAAAAAGATGTCAAGACTATAAAAATAATTTAAGGAGGATATAGAACACTATGAAGGATCCAAATATTCGTCTGATCACTGTATCAAGATGCTGAACAGCTGTTTGAAGAAATAATAATGGAAAACTTCCCTAACCTGGTGAAGGAAATGGACATAAGACCCCAGGAAGCTCAGAGGATTCCAAAAATCAGGGATCCAAAGAGACCCACACCAAGACACATTATAATTAAAATGCCAAAGGTTAAATACAAAGAAACAATATTAAAAGCAACGAGAAAAACAAATAATTACATATAAGAGAACACCGATAAGACTGGCAGCTGATTTCTCAAAAGAAACTATGCAGGACAGAAGGGCTTGGCAAAACATATTCAACAGGATGCAGACCCAGGATATACAACCAAAAATAATTTATCCAGCAAAGCTATCATTTAGAGTTGAAGGACAGATAAAGAGCTTCCCAGACAAAAATAAGCTAAAGGAATTTATCACCACTAAGCCAGTATTACAGGAAATGGTGGTGGGACTTCTTTAAGAAGAAAAAAACATGTATCAAAAACAGGAATAAAGAATGGTAACAACTACATTCCTATCAATAAGTACCTTAAATGGAAAAGAATTAAGTGCTCTAACCAAAAAATAAGAGTGGCTGAAAGGATAAGAAAACAAGACTCCTACATATGAAAATGAAGGAGATAGAAAAAGACATTGCTTTGATGGACCTAAAAGGTATTTAAGTTAGACAGAGAAAGTTAAACACTATATCATTTCACTTATATGCAGAATCTAAAGAATAAAAAGAACTAATCGAAACCAGACTCATAAACATAGTGGACAATTTGGTGTCGGACAAAGAGGAGGGGGATTTGGGGGGTTGGGAGAATGGGGTGAAGGGCTCAAGAAGTACAAATTAGTAGCCGATGGATGGTCCCAGGGATGGAGAGCATGGCATTGGGAATGCAGTTAGCATTAATATGTTGGCTAGGTGGAGGGTCAGGGGAGGGAGGGAGCAAATGGGGGGATCGTTTTACAAACCACATAGATGTCTAACCAATGTACTGTATACTTGAAACTAAATTAAAAAATAATAATTTAAAAATGATCAAAATAAACGTAGCCGATGGATGGTCACAGGGATGGAGAGCATGGCACTGGGAATGCAGTTAGCATTAATATGTTGGCTAGGTGGAGGGTCAGGGGAGGGAGGGAGCAAATGGGGGGATCGTTTTACAAACCATATAGATGTCTAACCAATGTACTGTATACTTGAAACTAAATTAAAAAATAATAATTTAAAAATGATCAAAATAAAAAAATATAAATAAGATATGGCAACTAAGGGTTTTTAACAGCAAAAACACAAAGCAACTTAAATGTCTATCAATAGGGAAATGGCTAAACTGTGATATGTCCACATAATAGAGTATACCTAATAAACACTCAGTAAAAAAGTAGATCTAAATCTATTAACTTTAAAAACAATAACAGCGACAAGAGGATTAAGATCAAAACAAGCAAGTTAAGAACTGTGTGTGTGTGTGTGTGTGTGTGTGTGTGTGTGTGTGTGTCATGACCAAATAATAGCAAATATCCATAGGAAATTAACAGTGAAAAGATGTACAGCAAAATGTTACAACAGTTATCTCCAAGTATGGGATGGGGATTAAGAGTGAATGTTCTCCTGTTTACTTTTCTACTTTTACTGAAAAATTTTGCGATGTGTATGTATTATATTTATAACCAGAAAAAAAAATAACCAATGTTTTGCTGTCAAGGAGGGAAATCCCTCAAACCACAATACAACAAATGAAAACTCAACACAGAAGCTAGAAAAGGGCTAACTTCCACATCCCAAGTTGAGTGATATAAACAGGGGGGTGGGTTATATATGAGAAGCATACCTTGTCAAATGCAGTTTTTTGTTCAGGTGGGGGGAAAGCAGCTTTTTGTTCAGGTGGTTGTGCAGGAGCTGTCTTTAACTGAGCTGTGATAGCCTGAACCTGAGCCATCACGGCATTGTCAATGGCAGGAGACTGTGGTTTTGGAGGCTGCTGAAAAGTCTGAAGGATCTGCTGAAGCTTAAAGAATGGGAAAACTGATAAACCACATAACGAAGTATATAACAAACAAACAAAAAACCTTAAAGGTGACTAAAAAAGCACAGGTAGAGAGTAAACTAGAAAAAGAATAAACATTTTAGTAATTGTCAGGTTTGTCGTGAATACATCTATTGGGGATATAATGAGTGTCACTTAAAAGTTAAAATGTACGCTGATGACCCCAATGGTAGAAAATAATGGCCACAAAGAAGAGAAAATACACTGAATTGTGAACAACGTAAACATGTTTTCTAAAAAATGCAAAAATCATCTCCAACCCATTTAATTTTGAAATCAGTCAGAAACGGTAGAATTGTGATCAACAATACTGGTCACTTAGCAGATCAGAAGTTCCCTTCAAAAGGGTACTACTCTTTGTTCTCAGCGTGCGGTTCCCTTGTTTTTCACCTGTCCACATTTTCCCATTATCCCTATGCCATTAATTTCCTAGTCAAGGCTTTTCTAGCTGAAAGAAATATTTCCTCCCCTAAAGGTACTCATTAATTAGGAATAGAAAGAAAGAAATGACAATAGTACCAAACTGCAAATGATTTAATATGTAGATGAGTAGTTTACCTGTTGACCTTGAGTTGACTGAAACAGTTGGGCCACAGCAGCAAAAGCATCAGAGCTAGGCAACTGTGGTACAGTTGGTACAGAGTTTGTAGTGGCTTGTGGGAGTTCAGAAGAAACTTTAACTGGAGGTGGAGGTGAACCTAAAAATGAAAAGGTCATTAAGGCCTAAGAAAACTTTAACCTAACAAAATTTCCTTTTTAAATTCCACTAAGCTTCTTTACTAAAATAACATTCCATTCAGTTTAAGACGCACTAAAAATACAGATTGTGGTACTACAGTCTATACTATAACAAGTACTAGAAGAGCATTTTTTTATTAGAAATAAGAATTATGGAAAGAAAACCATACCTTCCTCTATGTAAACTCAAGTTTCCTTCTTATGGAAAAATTCCACGAATATAAATAGACTCTAAACTTTTTATGTACAAAAAAAAAAAAATCATACCATTTTCTAAGCTCTCAGATACACTTGACCATACCTTCATTATTAGTAACATTTTCTGCCACTGGGGCAGCATTACTGGTTCCTGCTGCCATGTCCAAAAGAGGCTGAATAATTTCAATTTTGAATACTCCATTTTTCTGCCAAAGGTTCAGCACACGAACTATTTTACTCTGTTATATGTGAGAAAACATGAATATACAATAAATATTTGCATAAATAATTTATTATATCTCTTACAAAAAAAAAAAGAGAGAGAGAAACAACCCTAGGCTAATTTTTTCTTACCATGTCTGTTTTGTAAACAGGAAAACAAAAGCTATCATTAGAATCACAATCTGATTAGACTACTCTAACCAACCTTTCTTTAGAAGTTTAATCTAGAAACAGAAGGAAAAGAATGAAACAAGAAAGGAATATAACCTAGAGAATCAAAACTTTGTATTCAAATAATAAATTTAATAAAGTTTTCATTATGTTTTACTTATGGTTAAAAGAAACTATTGCTGACCAAGAAAACCCAGTTTATCTTATAAAAGTGAAGAATTTCTTTAGGATGATTATATTAGTTAAAATATTTAATAAACTGGCCAGTAATTGATAGGTAAGTTACTTTGTAGACCAGTTAATATGAAGGAGATCCAGAGAAGATGTGTTATTTGGGTTAAAACTTTATCTCCTATTCAAGGAATGATGATCTTCATGTCTCCATTCTTCATTCTTCATTCTTCTGAGTAGGTTTACCAATATATTTCTCTCACCCACTGGAGTCTATACACAGTAAAACCAGCTATCTTGATGAGTTAAATACTGCAGTCTGATTGGCAATGAATACCACTTACGCTCTCACATCTCTACATACTAGGTAAAGCCATCAATTATTGGTCCCTTCCTACCAGAATAAGCAACCATCTGAGATGCCTTTCTCTGCTACAAGTAAATCTTAACAACAACGTCTTCCTGAAAGCAAGATAGTGCTCCTTTCATATTCCAACAGTACAACATTCCTGAAGGATTTTACAAGAAGATAAATATGAGGTGACCACTACAGAAAAAACTGGCTTTTATTTCAGGTTTAGATTATCTTTCTAGTAATACAGTAGGTTTCAAATATCTAAAATATATTTAAATAGATTAAAATGAATATAAAAATAAAAACAAGAATGTAAGTTCTAATTTAAAAATTATTAACTATACCTTATCTTCAGATGGACAAAGATATAAATATTGGAATGTGGCAGTTATGTTTTTAGAGAATCTTGGCCCAAAAACATCTTTATCAGTTCCAAACTGATGACGAGACTGTCGCACAATTGAGTCGATTACATATAATCCTGGAACTTTGTATTCTGGTTTACACTACAAAAATAAAGAAGTAAAAGTCAATATAAGAGAAGTCAAATCACAATTTGACACCTATTCATCTCACTTTTATGAAACCCTGTATATCCAATGACAGTTTCTACTTAGAACCACTTGAATGTCTAGCTCTTTTATTAGCTAGCCTGTCGAATTTCCCACAGGTCTATACAGAAATACCATTCTCTCGATATTTCAGACCCCCCAGTATTTTACTTTTCTCTGATCCCTCTCCCTCCCCACACACAATTTCCCAAAATCAACATTACTTTATCAATCCCTAAGTCACTTCCACACAAATCCATTTGATAGTCTCTACTCCAATTCCTCCTGCTCAAAACAATAAATTTTATCTTTTAAAAGTATGAAAAGGGTAATTTTAACAACATACCAATCTTAATTCTGTTAAAATACAGTATCAGAGAATCAAAAAACAGTAAAAAGAGAGGTCATTTTTGGCCTATGAAATTGTAAGATAAAAAGAAAAAAGAAACACACACCTACATACATTCAGGTGTTATAATCTTTATAGATGATGATTTAGCAACAAAAGCAAAGCCGTATTTGATCCAACAATTCTATATCTAAAAATTTATCCTAAGAGAAACAATTATTATGCATCTAATTTTTTCCATAGGCCAGCCAATGAAGTGAAATGTCCAACGACAGGGAACTGACTAATTGTGGAAACAATCATGAAATGAAATACTTGCAGATGTTTACGATAAATTCAGTGGGGAAAGCAGGTCATTAATCAGTATGTCTCCATTTTTCTTTTAAAAATGTACATGCACATAATAAAAAATGAGTAGATCCAAATGTAAATATGTGCAATGATGTGGAGTTGTAGCATACAGGAAATTTTATTTTTCCGTTTTACTTATTTGTACTTTGATTTGCTACTATAAAAACCTCTATGACCATTTAGAGCTGTTGAAACTCTAACTCCTGTATCTTAGCCAGTATTCAAAGGCCATGGATCAGAGATGCTTCCATACATATTAGTATGTACTACATGGGAGAGAAGACAGATGTCTAAGTCTCTGTTCTTATTCCTCTATTGAGATATACATGCTAATCACAGTTATAAATCAACACATTACAACTGGAGAACTGAAAATGGCTCAATTATGATAGGAGCTGGAAAAAGTTGGAAAAACTTTATAAAGTGATATCATTTGAAATACTCCAAGATGAGTTCGATGTCAACAGAGTGAATGGGGCAGAGGAGACACATTAGGCTCAGGGAAGAGTCCTGCCCAGTAGATGAGAAACTGCTAAGTGCCTACCTCCATAGTAAGTACTCAATCCTAAAAAGAAAAGCGCACACACACACACACACACACACACACACCAAAAAAACCCTCTAGAGATTAAAAAGAATCTCCAGTGACAACATCTTTGTATAGCGGCTTTACAAGAAAGCATCCAAATTACAATTTACAAAGTAAATTACAAATACTGAACATAACGAAATGAGTTAATAATAAAATGGATAGTTACCTTTTTGATGAATTTTTCTACTATTTGAACTACATGCTTATAAAGCTGAAAAGAATTAAAAGAAAATTACTGTAGTTTCCATATTTCTGCATTTCCTATAATTAACAAATACGTACCACCTTGAAATTTGCACAATTTGAATAATTCTCAAGATAATATTGAATAAACCATGAGAAATCTACAGTCAACAACTAAAAAAAAACCTTTCAAACAGAAAGAAATTAATTAAAACAAAAACTACAAAAATCCTCCCAAAGAGGTCTTTTTCTTAGATTTTTAATCAATAAACCTTCATAAAACAGTGTACCGGGCAATTTTATGAGACGGATAACAATGGAATTGGAACTAACTTATGCAGTTTCTACCGTGAGTCACTTATTTAGGCTCAATCTTGGGTATGAAATTTAATTTCATGGGGCCCAAGTTGTTGTTTGTTTTTAAAATAACAATGAAGCTAATACTCAGCTGATTTATGACAAGAATTAAACGAAATAAAGAAAAAAAATTGCCATTCTACCTCTACTTCTGGGAGTTCAAATTTTTTAGCAACATAAAAACAAAAGATAACTGTGAGGGTAATGGATGTGTTAATTAGCTTGATTGTGGTAATCATTTCACAATGTATACATGTTATCGAATCAGGTTTTACATATTGTTAAATATATACAATTTTTATTTGTTAATTATACCTCAATAAAGCTGGAGAAAAATATACAGAGAAAATACTAATAATAAGAAAAAGGGCAAAAAAACCTGGTTTTGAAGTAATGTTAAAATGCAAATACGCCATACTGTATTACCATGTACTTTCAGCAAAATCTGGTTAGTGTTCTTTGGTTCAGGCCTGAACTAATTCACAGATGAATTCTCATGTTTAATATCATTTTCAAAATTTCAAAAAATTTTTTCAAATTAAATAAATTTATTTTATTCTTACCTTAATGGCTTTGATAGCAGCTTTCGTGATAAGAATCATCTTGGCTCGAGAGATGGGAGGTTTCATATCCATAAGTGAAAAGAGCTTAAAAAACAAGCAAGCAAAATCAATTTTAAGTTAAAGGTAAAATTAGAGATCAATTCTCCTGTTCTACAATCTAGTACCTGAAAAAATAATGAACTTTAGGAACTAAGTTAAAAATTTTGGCAAGTAAAGAAAAATCAAGAGCTTTCCTACATACCTGTACCACCCACCACTTAGCAAATACAATGGGAAAAAACCATATTAAAAATAGCAAAAAAAAAAAAAAAGGTAAAAAATTAAGAAATTTACAAAACCTGTAACAAAATATTACAGAACTTAACCGAAGAACTCAAAAATGATTTGAATGGAAACGAACACACCATTTTCCTGGACTGCAAATGGCAACAGTGTGACTCAATATTTAATGTAATTTTAATCTAAACTTCACTAAAATTTTGGAGAATTCAAGTAATTCTAAGGTTCATTTGGAGAAACACATGTATTAAATCAAACAAAAAATTAAATATGTCATTATAAAGCTGGAATTCACAATTTCTTGATATAGTCAGGAATGACACCAACAAATCACACAACAGTATATCTAACACTTAGGAGCTCCTGTGAGAGTTTAAATCCAACCAATGCATAATGAGAGCCCACAGAGGGTGATAAAGATCTAACTTCTTAAATTCTTGTTACTGTTTTATTTAATCATAGGTACATACTTACCTGGGACTTCTAAAAGATATTTTGAAATAAATTTCAGGGCTTCCTGAGCATCATCTACCTTATATGAGTCATATTTCTATTTCTTTCCAATTAATGTTAATATTTCAAATATGGAATCCCTAAGACGTAGACTACCACTAAGAGGCTAGCCTAAAGAACAAGTCTCTTTTCTCAGAGTAAATGGCCCTACCTAGCAACACATCCTAAAAATTTTCACAGCTTTCCAAAAACTACAGACACAATGGGACTACAGATAACAGTAACAGTAATTTTAGAAAAAGTATAGAATGCTAGATATAATCAATATAAAAACCAGATACTGTTTAAGCAGAAAGAATTTTCCATAAATAACATTCACATACAGAAAAGAAAATAAGATATTAACACAGGAATTCATTTTTTAAAAAGGGAATAACTCTTTATTTTACGTATTCATGTAATAAAAATTCTCCTTGAGAATAAATGCTAATTAAAAAACTAGGAGATAATTTTTGAAATTGTAACCAATGAGAAATTAAAAAGCAACTTAAAATTGTTCAACCAAATACAATTAGAATATCAATACTGCATGAAATATACAACATACATTTATAAAAGGTATATTTCAGCCATTTAAATGTTATAAAATTCATTAAGACAGCTGTTTATTACTGTTCTATTTCCTTCTCTGTACCTTAAAGCAGAGAATGTAAAAAAGTTTATATATGGATCATAAGAATGATCCATATATAATGGCAGAATTCCCTCTCTGCCATTAAAAGCTTAGAAAATCATATTTTAATGAAGCCTAAGCCAGAGCTAACATTCAATGTCCCAAACAGCACTTCTTGATTATTTCAGCAGTAAGCAACTTGTCATATAAAGAACTGCCAACTGAGCACACAAGAAAGTCCAGACCAGGCACCTTCTGATAAAGCATCCCACATAGTCTATATATTTAAACCATTTTATTTTATATTTTATTTTTTTAGGCGCGGCAACTCTTGGTTGACCTCACAGATTGCAAGGACCTTGTCAGCTTACAGTTCCTTATTTTTTTATATTTTTATACTTCTTTTTACATCTACAGCACCTGGTTTTCCTAGGTGGTCTCCCATCCAAGTACTATCCAGGCCCGACCCTGCTTAGCTTCCGAGATCAGACGAGATTGGGCTTGTTCAGGGTAGCATGGCCATAGACCATATTTTATTTTAAAAATTAAAATACTATATTATAGAGCGGTATATCCATTCATTCAGGCAAATGACCAGCAAGAGAACCTTCAAATGCTATCATCTAAAATACAGAGGAAGGGTGTTATTATATTCCATAAGGAAAAGATGACTTGGGAAGAGAGGAGAGAACCAACATTTGAGTGCCTGCTATGTGTAAGAATTAAGTTTGGTGGTGTGTTATTTAATTTAATTATATCGACAAACATAACTTCTGTTACAGCTGTTTTGGATGATGTCCAGGGAATAGGTCTCAACTAAAATTTGTTGATTTGAAAGCTCACAATCTCTGATAGCATACTCATACCCTTACACATGTTGCTTACTGACTAAATACATGAGACCATTAACTAAGATGGGGAGTACAGACAAACATCAACCAGGCACGCGTGCCTGTGTATACACTGTATTGATTCAGGGATGATAATGAAACATATTGCATTTAATTTGGGATGCCTACTGAATATCCAGGAATATGGATCTTGAACACATAAGAGAGATCTAGGCTAGAAACTGAAAGGTCACAGAATCAAAGCCATGAAGATGGGTGAGAAGGAACTTGTATTAAAAAGGAAGCCAAGAACATGTACCTAGCTAGGGTACACATCAACAATTCCATTGTGGTATAGAGCAGGGTACTGCACAAATGAACACCACCAAGACAACTGCCAGAAATGAAAGGCATTTGGCATGTCAAATGCTATCACGATGCAACCCAATCCTTGTTCATTCAGTTTGACAAGTAGGTGGCTGAAGTGGTATCAGTTTCTGAAAGTGAATCCAAGTCCACCAAGTTAAGCAGTAAGTGGCAGGTGAGGAAGCAGAAATAAGATAGTGGATCATTTTTCATTCACTGAACAAATATCTGAGGGGCTTAGTAAGTGACTTACCAAGCAAGCTCAGTGTTCGGCACATTCGGCACATAAAAAGGAGACCTCGGTCATCTTTTGATGCTTTACAGATGACCATCCTTAAATACCTCTTACTTATTAGCATTATAAGGCATCAATCACATTTCTTTTTAGATGCCCTTTCATTTACCAATGCCTTTTTAAATCTTAAAGTTGTAAATTTGTATTTGATATAATTTAACTACAGACAGTTACAGAAGTTTCAAAACTGGAGATTTCATTGACTTCTTCAAGGCACAAATTCATCAAACAAGTCCCCTAATATTTAGATCAATGTCTTCATTAGAAAGAGAGATCCAGAAATTGTGCTAAAATTAATATACTTTATAGTAACAATGACAATGACACTTCCATTTTTACAGATGAGAACACTGAGGCACAGAAGTTCAAGAATCTGCTCAAAGTAATAAAGCTAATTAATAGTAAGTTCAATCTGTGGTTTACCATTTCCCAAAGTTTGAATTCTTTCCACTAAGTACCTAACAAGGAGATTACTTAATAATATAATACTTTAGCATAGAGGAATAATGCAGATATTAAAGATAAAGACTAAGACTACATACTCAGGTAAAAAAAAAAAAAAAATGCATGTAGACCCAAGTGAGAAAGTAATACTGAAGTATAATTGTTATGAGGGACTGGACTCAAAGATTTTTTAATAACAAAAAAATAAGTGGCATGGAGGTAAAGTGATATATCCAGCCAAGCAACGAAATAAGAAAATATACTGATTCCTTACTGGAATTTAGAGCAACATTGCAATCAATACTTTTAAATAAAAATAATTTTGTCATGGCCACCTATGTTGGCTAAAGAATCTCTTGAAAGTGTACAATCTCGTTCGTGGTGAGCTAAGATTTAGATTATAAAGTCTACAGCCATGCCATCCTGAACATGCCCGATCTCATCTGATCTCGGAAGCTAAGTACGGTCGGGCCTGGTAAGTACTTGGATGGAAGACCACCTAGGAATACCAGGTGCTGTAGGCATTTTTAAAAAATAAATAAAATTAAATAAAAAAAAAAAAGTAAGATTTAGTTACTGAATTTTCAAAAACAATAAATTCCTGTTAGGGTAACCATCAGAACACAGGCTCAATAATTAATTCAGAGAAATCCTGGCTCTACTGCTTGCTAGCTATGAGAAACTTTTCATCTGTAAAATGAGGTAACAGTTCCTACTTAGAGAAGTTTAAGAATTAATTCAAACAATATATATAAAAGCACTTAATGCAGAACTTTGCAGAGTAAGTGTGCAACAGATATTAGCTGTTACTACTACAATGCTTAATTTTGTTGGGGGAAAAAAAAAAAAGAATCCCAGAGATAATCCAAAGCAGTGTTTTCAAATTGTGGGTTGAGATATACTAGTAGATCATGAAAATGAACTTAGTGGGTGTGACAGATCTTTTTAGTGGAAGAGAGTCAAAAAAAAAAAATCTGTATATTTATAGAACAGCACTGCACACAGCAAGGGTTAAGTACTGTTTGGTACTTAATCTCCCACTTTTGTGTGTGGGTATGTAAATACGAGCATCTGAGTCTCAATGTAAAATTGTAACTCCTACTGTGAGGGCCATGGTAAAAAAATATATGTATGAAAGGCAATGACTTAGAAAAATTCTTTTGTTTTAGAAATGAGGAAAATAAAATCTAAACTGTTGATCATCTTTCAAAAGTGGGTAGAGTTCTTAAACCATTAATACATTTTTTGTGAAATGTATGAAAAAAAAAGTTGTGGAAAAAGCAGCATAGCCAAATCAGAAAAAAAAGTTCATATTTTTCAATGAAGTTTATAATACACATAGAAGAATATACAGAGTAGAAATAGGAGTAAAGATAATTCAGGCTCTAGTTATTTCTGACCAACATCCAATCTCAGCCAACATATCTTAAGAAAAAAACCCACCAGCTTTATACATAAAGATGAAACTTCATATAATTCCAACAAACTCTACTAATGACAAAAAAGACATGTGGTATTCTGGAGCAAGTCAGATAGACCTAGTTTTGAAACTTGGTCCTGCCATGTAGATCATTCTGGACAAATTGCTCAACTTCTGTAAAGCCACAGTGTCCTCCTATGTAAAAAAGATTATTGTTATCTACTTCACAGGTAACAATGAGAAATAAATTAGTCTATGCACAGAGAATGACTAGTTATCACTTACGACAGAACAAATGCTCAATAAATGTCACTAGGTGCTGTATTCTCCCTACAATTAATGTCG